CGCCGCCGCTGCCCGGCGCCCGCTCACCTGCCAGCGGCGCGCCCATCACTTCCAGAATCCCCGGGTCACTGTTGAGCTTGAGCATGGCCAGGCGGTAAACGCGGTCGGGGTCGACCGCCGCGCGCACCGCCGCGTATGAAGCCACGCCCGCAACCAGCGCAAGCGACGCGGCCGCCGAGGCGCCGGCCGCGAGGGCGGGGTGGGTATTCGGGAGTTCACTCGCCAGGCGGAGGGCGGGGAGGAGGGCGAGGCGGTGCAGCGCGTATGCTGCGCCCAGCGCGCCGGCGGCGGATATGCGGCCGCTGTGGGCCTGCCAGGCCGCCGCGGCCTGCAGCGCGGCGGCCTGGGCGAGGGACGTGCGGCGCGTGTGGTCGGCGGCGCGCCGCAGCTGCGAGGTTGGGAAGCAGGGAGGGTGCGCGTGTGGCGCGTGGGGCAGGCGATGGGTGCGCGTGGCCTCACGTGGCATGCGCGAAGCGAGGTCGAGCCGCATGCACATGAGACGCACGCCTGGTCCCTGCCCCAGGGCTGCCGCTGCCGTCCCTCACCCTATCTCTCCAGCGGCTGCTTTTGACAGACGCCAGCGCCGCCGCCGCTGCCCCTGCGATTGCAGCAGGGGCTGCCTGGGCGGTAGTATCTTTGCCGCTGACAGTGGAGCCCGCTTCACGTTTCGAGCTGCCTGAGTTGCTGGGGCTGCTGCTGTCTGTACCGCTGGCTGCGGCCGCGACATTAGCAGCACTTGTCACTGTCCCTGGTGAGTTATCTGACAAGCCATGCTGCTTGTGACCAGAGTGATGTTGATCCGCCGCGCTCGCCGACGAGGACGCGCTGCGCCACGCTGCGCCAGGGTAGCCCGCCCCATCCAGCAGGCGTCGGTGCGTGCAGACCACTCCCTGAGTGCACGACCATGTCCCAAATCCCTGCGCCAAAAACACCCGCGATCGTTGCAGTTGTGGGAGCTGGGCTAGCTGATCTCTCGTCACCGCATTGCTCGGCATGCCGACGCACGTACCTGAAGGCGTAAAGCTACTTGAAGCAGTGCGCCCCTTGTCAAGGTCCCTCGCGCCATCCCGCCCTGATCGGTGCTTGCGAGGAGCTCGGAGTATCCCCTTCCTGGGGAGCACCGTGTCAACTCAAGCTTATGAAACGATCGGTTGGCATAGGGCAGGCGCGGCATGCCCTCATCCGCAAAAAGCGCGATGCTTCAGTCACTGTGCGTCACCCACACACTCCTGCGCAGGCCCGAGTCTGATCAAGCTTGCCAGGCGGGCGATGGCGGCTTCACGTGCAAGGATCAACGCATGAAGGCTCTCACGAGTGGAGTATGCTCATGACTACTTTGCGGAGTCTGCAATCTGGCGGCCCGCTCCCACTGGCCAATCGGCAATCCCGGGAGCATTGTGCGCCGTCACTCTGTGCAGGATGTGCATTCGCACAAGTGCAAGCTGCCACAAGTGAGAAAATGCCGCAAGCTTCTACAACTACCTATGGCTACGTATTGCCGAGTCGAAGGTAGGGGCAGAATGTCCAGCAGCGCGGTGTGAGTCGTGGTGCCATACTGCAGTTTCCTGACATTTTTTTGACAAGTGCGGTTTTGCTGCAACACCTGCTGTCCAGCTTACGGATACAAAAGCACATTTGCAAACTGAGGCCCAGAGGGCGATGGCAGAGACTTGCGAGGCAGCTGTCCGCAGGCACCAGCAGCCACCAGGCGTCGCGTCTCCCCAGCCTCATCCCGCTCACCTCCTCAGCGCCCTGCCTACCGTGCGACCTGCGTGCGACCGGCATCTTTATCGCAAACACTACTCTGTTACTTGTAATTCTTCATTTCTTACACGGAGTCACATGGTACGTCGGCACAAGATAGTGAACTACCATCGGCCACTGGCCATCAGGCACGCAGGCACGTTCCTGGCATGCGCCCGCGTATACATTTGGATTTGCAACACTTGCGTTTACGTGTTGAACTAACAACGTTCACGCGCCCAACGTGCCGGATGATCTCCTCCCGATCTAGCCAGCTCTCCTAACGGAAGCCCGGTGGCACCAGCGGCTTCGACTTCAGTATATCTTGCACTTCTTAGCACGCAGTGCTCCGTATCTGGCCCGGGGCGCGCGGCCGGTGCTGTCTGTACGACCCTCGCAGCGGCCTGACCGGGCTTTTCCGCCAGCTCTTGATTTCTCCGCGGACTTCTGTGCGTGAGAGACGCCGCGTGGCATGCTCACGCGTGCGCCACGCTGCGGCGACACGTCGCCTCTGATGGCACACGGGGGTGGCGCTGTGGCACCGCATGCCCTTGGCTCTGCAGACGCAGAGGAAGAGGAGCTAGACATGGCTGACCAGGCCTGCAGCATGTACAGCCAGTCACCTGTAAAGTGGTGAGTCTGGTTTGGCGTGTGCTTGGGCACTTGATGTGGGGCACGTTGGGCATGGGGGTTGCGCCCACCCGAGCTGACCCTCGTGCTGCTTGGCCTGAGGGCCCGGAAAGGCTGCCTACCATTGTGTCAGGCGGCTCAAGCACACATCCCACCACCCCGCTGACGCCCGTGCTGCCTGCATCAGCAGGCACAGTGCAGGGTCAGACGGGGGGGTCGATGTGGAGGCCTCTGCAGATTGTGCCCAAGCCCGCGGCAGCGCCACGCCCGATGGCGCCATGGCCCCTGCGAGCTGCAACGGGGCCTGCATCAGCAACCCCAACGAACACCGCAATGGGCATGCGGGTAGGCTGCAGCCAGAGGCTGGCGGCGACGACGATGAGGATTTCTTTGATGCTCACGATGCATATGAGCACCACCTGCAGCATGAGCAGCAGGGGCAGCAGCAGCACGAGCAGCAGGACCTTCTCCTGCAGCAGGAGCAGAAGGAGCAGCTGCAGCACCACAAACAGGCATCGCATGGCAACGCGCCCGACGGCTGTCCGCCGCGGTGTGATGCGGCAGCGGCAAAGCCCGACCAGCAGGAGGCGGCGCAGCCAGCAGGTGTGCTCTCACGGCTGCCCCACCTGGCTTCGCTCGAGGCAGCTGGGCAGCCACCGGCCTCGCCCCTGCCGCCTGCTGCGGCGCAGCCGGCGCCGTCATGCCTGCAGCCTGTCAGCCCTGCTTCTTCGACCAATGGCGCCGTGAGTGGCCCGCGCGCGTGCGCATCATCCCCGTACGAGGTTCTTTGGGGGCGGGGCGAGGAGCCGAGTGGATGCAGGGTTGAGGAGTGAGAGGTCCGCACCCAGTGTGCTCTGTGAACAGCTGGCTTACTTCAGCTTTGGCTTGATTTGTTGTCCTGCAGCCCAGCTGCCCAACCCCACCATTCATCGGCCCCCGACCTGCCCCCATCCTCACCAGCAGGACCACACCCTCTTGGGTGAGGGCGGTCGCCACATCAAGTCACCAGAGTCACCCGTTCTTCAGGCGGCGTCAGTCAGCGGCGATGGGGCCGGCGGCAGAGGCAGGGAGGGGCCAGGGGAAGCCGGCGGCGCAGTCGAGGCTGTCTTCCCGCATGCACAGCAGCAGCAGCAGCAGCAGCAGCAGCATGGCGCTAGCTGGGGCGGGCAGCAGCACCAGCAGGGGGTGCGCGATCAGCTGTTGCAGGACGTGGATCCTCCACTCCAGCAGGCCCCCACAACGCCTGAGGCAACACAGAAGTCACAGCTGCAAGAGCCGCTGACCCCGGGCCCTGCCGACCTCCCCGCCAGCTGCGTACACTCCCCGGCTGCCAGGGACGCGGCTGCGGCAGATGCAGCCCGCAATCAGGATTGCAGCGCCATGGGCGGCCCCCCTGCTTCGCGCTCAGAGCCCTCCAGCGGAGGTGGTGCTGAGGAGGCGTCCTGGCCGTGCCAGCAGAGCCCAGAGCGGAGCGGCTGCCTCAGAACCAGCAACTCGTATATTGCTGCCACCAGCACCGAGCCAGCGCTCAGCGCTGCGGTCAGCCCCATGCCGGCGCCGCCTGCGTCCGAGGACGCAGCCGCGGAGCGCGAGGCCGACGCAGCTAGCGCAGGGGACGCGGAGCGCGCCGCGGCGCCGCCGGCGCTGCCCGGCCCGCCTCCGCTGCTGCCGCCGCTGGCAACGCACCTGTCTTGGGCAGACGAGGTGGAAGCATGTGAGGCCGAGGGCGCGTCGCCTCTGGCCCCACTGCCCATCGCCGAGGAAGGCGAGCGTCAGCCGTGGGACGCAGCGTGCCCTGACCAGCGGGGCGAACAGGAGGCAAAGGGCGCGGAGGAGCGTCAGCCGCCGCCTCAGCAGCAGCAGCAGCAGCAGCTGTGGCGTGCGCCGCACCATGCAGCTGCGCGGCCCGGCCCAGCCATGGAGGCGTCCTCCGACGAGGACGACATCGAACGCCTCTTCCACGTCGGCGGCGTGCGCGTGACCGCCACCGCAGCGGCGGCGCAGCAGGAGCCTTGGCGGCGCGAGGCGGGCGGCTGGCGGCGCGAGCCCGAGCCGCAATCCGAACGCGAGCGG